ATGATCAAAATTCAGTTGCTAAGTGAATCACACCAGTTCTTAATTTAGTGACACGGTTGTTAAGTGAATCTTGCTTCCCCCTTTGACATTGCTGGTCAGAAGGTTGCAAAAGGGGATCACATGACCCTGGGACACGGCAACTGTCATAAATTGAAACCGTTGTCAAGCATCTGAATTTTGATCATGTAATTTATAGGGATGCTGCAGCCGTTGTAAGTGTGAAAAATGGTCATGTCACTTTTTTCAGTGCTATTGCAACTTCAAACAGTCATTTAATGAACTGCTGTAAGTCGAGGACTACCTGTGATGCTTCCTCTTTTTATTTACTCCACTGTAATATTGTCTTAGCTAAGCTTGCCGATCAGAAAGGTTGGCAGTTCGGTGGTTCGAATCCCTAGCGCCGTGTAACGGAGTGAGCTCCCATTACTTGTCCCAGCTTCTGCCAACCTGGCAGTTAGAAAGCATGTAAAAATGCAAGTATTAAAATAGGGACCACTTTGGTGGGAAGGTAATCGTGTTGCGTGTCCCTTCAGCGTTTAGTCATGTTAGCCACATGACCTTGGAGAACATCTTTGGACAACGCTGGCTCTTCGGCTTTGAAACAGAGATGAACACCACCCCCTAGAGTCGGGAGGGACTAGCACATATGTGCAAGGGGAAGCTTTACCTTTACCTAATATTGTCTACCCAGAAAACTGTCCTTGATACAGAGATATCCTGTAGAAATCCTCATTGGGGGAGGATAGGCAAACTGCCTGGATTTATTGATCTGGAATGTTCCAGAATGCCAAGCTAGAATGGCATTTGGGGAGTTGTAATCAAAGCCCATCTGTTGGGGAGGTTTTTGCTGAAGGATCCCCACAGAGCTGTGGTTATTGAGAGAGGAATATGAATAGCATTGAAAGTTCTCAGTGTTTTGAGACTTTTACTCCCCTTCAAATTGAAAGTTCATTTTAAGGAGACCACTTAAAAAGCGGAGAAAAGATGTTATCTCCTGGTCTTTTCTTGTCCCTCATAGTAGTCAAGAAGAACCAAGGAGAGAAGCAACCTAGAACTAAGGAGAAATTTCCTAACGGTGAGAGCAATCAACCAATGGAATAGCTTACCTTCAGAAGTTGTGAGTGCTCCATCCCTGAAGACTTTCAAAAAGAGACTGGACAACCATTTGTTTGAAATAGTGTAGGGTTTCCTGCTCGAACAGGGAGTTGGACTATAAGACTTCTGAGGTCCCTTCCATATTCTATGTTCTAATATAGGGTCTCCTTTTTGAGCAGGTGATGGGGCTAGAAGATTTCTGAGATTCTTTCCAACTCTCTTATTTTATATTCTACTAGCTGATAACCTGGCGTTACCCGGGTATTTATTTATTTATAGGGGGAAAATGTCCGGACCAAACATAATTTCTAATGTTGGATTTTCCCCCTTACCAGAGGAAGCCCCCTTGTGGAGTACTGTGAATCTGTTACGATGACAACCCACTGCGCTGTGCAATAGAAGCCATTTTATGGCAGTACAGTAGAAGCCATTTTAAGACACAACAGGCTGTATCTTTAACAGAAAACATACCTCGGGGGGTGTTAGGGGTATCTTACCCCCACAGTAGTTGTTTCCAGAGAGTAAGTCATCTGTGTACCAAGTTTGGTTGAAATTGCTCAAAGCATTCTTGAATTATGCTGGAACATACACACACAGGGAGCCATTTTTATATATATAGAAAGAAAGATGTTCTACTTCCTCTTAGTTCCTGCCGACATACTGATTTTGAAATGTGCCAGGAATGAACTTTAGGACACAGAAGATTCCCTCCACCCTATCTCTTTGTTGTCCTTGGTTGTCACATACTTGGTAACAATATTCTCCTGTACGGAGGTGATGGGAGATGTTCTTCTCCCAGGCGTTGCTACCATTTCAATCCATTTCAAGAAGAGTTTCAGAGTGTGTTTAGCCCCCAGGGTTCTAAGTTTGCTGGGAGAAGTTTCATACTACCTTGAATAAGGAGAGGATGAAAGTTTTATTGAAGAAATTGTATTCATTTGAATGAACTTGGAGGCCAGAGGGCATCTCCCCCGTTGCCATCAAACGCGATCACCACAGTTAAAAATGTCTTCTCAAACTTGCCATCCACGCTTGTAAAAGAACAGAAGCCATGCCGGCATGCAATTAATTTTGGCTTTTCCTTAAGCCTAATTGGCATTTGTCTTTTTGATTCATTTTTGAGAATAGTGCTCTGCATATCTGAAGATGGGGATAAATTAATGCCATGGCATTTTTGTGCAGGGCCTCTAATAACGGAAAGAAAATTGGGATTTCTAATGCACACCCTTGAGTAGGAAGAGCGGGTAGATCTCAATGGAATATTTTTCACTGATTCCTGAAATAATTGTCTAGCTGGAAGCTGTTGAAATCTCATCTCACGAGTATAAGAAACGTGGAAGTATTGCCACATTTTTCATTTGGCTGTACAGTCTTTATTTTCCCATAAATTGAGCGCAAACATCAGCATACATTCTCAACTCATCCTGTATTTATTTATTTATTTTTTGCTCCAATGCATTCAAGTCTCATTCCATTCCAAAATATCTAATGATGTAGTAGACCGAAGATGCTTAGAGTACTCTAATATTGGCAGACTTTAGTCACAAAAATGTCCTTGCTGAATTTCTTTCTCTATCAGTATTCAACCTTCTGATCCCAGTATTCTCCATCGGAATATAAGGCTAGATCAGTGTTGGTGAACCTTTTCGGCTCCAAGCACCAAAATGGGAGCGCACACACGTGCCGGAAACCGGAAGAGCAGCCACCCAGTGCGCATGCCCACACTGGGAAGATGATCTGGTTTCTGGCATGCGCACCGGCCAGCTGGTCTTCTCAAGCGCATGCATGCCAGAAACTAGAAGACCTGGTGAATAGTGAGCATGCATGCACCGGAAACCGGAAGATCATCTTCCCGATGTGCTCATGTGCAGCCAGCGGCTGCTCTTCTGGTTTCTGGCATGCGCACCGGCCAGCTGGTCTTCTCAAGCGCATGCATGCCAGAAACTAGAAGACCTGGTGAATAGTGAGCATGCATGCACCGGAAACCGGAAGATCATCTTCCCGATGCACGCATTTGCACCGGGCGGCTGCTCTTCTGGTTTTCGGCACTCCTATGTATGTGAAGACCTGCTGGAACCGGAAGAACAACAGGCAATAGAGAGATGGCTCTGTGTGCCACTTCTGGCACTCCTGCCGTAGCTTTACCATCATGAGGCTAGATAATCTCATATCTCTATCTCTGTCTGTCTGTCTATCTATCTGTATCTATCTAATCTATCAGTTTTCTATCTATCTATCTATCTATCTATCTATCTATCTATCTATCTATCTATCTATCTATCTATCTATCTATCT